TGTTTGCCAACACGACTTTTCACTCGTAAACGAAATGGGAATTTTTGCCGAAATAAGAAAATCGGTGGCTATTGATACTCGTTAATAAAAGTTCACCTCTCGCTAACGGGACACAATCCTTCTGCTTTGCCTTGGGACTCTAACTTTACCAGTGGTTGTGAACAGTGTGCAGAGTGCCGAAAGCAAGTGGTCCTTGGTCTAGAAAAAGTCAGTGGTGTTCTATTGGAAGACCTCAGCCAGTCAAATGTCCAAAATGAATTGTTTTGGTGTCGGTTTCAGGGAAATCTTCGCTCCAGAGTTAGGGTGAGGTCCACGACTGCAAACAGTGTCATGTTGGGGGCCTTTTTAAGATAAACAGAAGCAGCGAAACAGCTTTTCATTTTCTGGTCTAGGGCACTTTGCTAGGGCCTCATTTCGTTCGGCTATGCGCCAAGATATATTTGCAAGCAGACTAAATACATGCAGAGACACAAAGAATTATCTCAGTGACTGGTGGTATAACCACTCTCAAATCTGAAATCTGGTATGGTGATTGTCGACGAACGTTGGCAGTTATCCTGGGAATCATAGTATCTACAAGCCATCAAACCTGGAAAAAATATTGCCCCATAGGCTGCTCTGAACACTCGGGGAGGTTAAAGCATTTGGAAAATTCGATAATATGCCATCAATGGAATGTCAGGCGATGTTGTAGAATAAAGGAGGCAGTGAATAAAATGGCTAGATGCTTCGTGTTCAGCGTCGAGTTTTAGAGATTTTACGTAGCGTTTTCAGCTTTGTGTAACTTAGTTAAAAGTAAACAAAAATTACATGTCGAAAATATTGATAAATAATAAGAAGACGCGATCTCTGGAACGGCAACATTATTCTTCTGAAATTTCGGCCTCACACGAGAAGTCATCGTTAGAGAAACTGAGACAGCAGCAAACGGCGGCTACGCGTAAACAGGGGTGGGGGGCGGGGGCGGGGTGGCACTTGTGATTGGTCCATGCCCACGTCACGTCCATGCTCACGCCATCTTATCATGTCTCAGAAGAATAAAATTGCCGTCCCAGAGATCGTATCTTCCTCTTCTTTACAACAAGAAACTGAAGCACGCATATTCGCTTCTATATTGATAAGTATTTTGTAAATTTCGTAATTCATTCAAATGCCGAAGAACAATTCACAGAACAGTGGGCTAACAGAGGTTTTAAACCTCGGATTGTTTTTGCTAGTGAACTAGCGTGGAGAAAAAGGAAGAAGGAGGTGGATTTAATGGAAGTTCGAGGGGAGCAGGGGTCAGATAAGACGAGGTGCCATTACCAGCAGAGATTACCAACGAGGAGGCCGTTGAAGTGTCTTATTAAAAGGTTATAGAATGCAGGTTGAGAAGGATAAAAATCACTGCGCAGAGTCCTTCTAGTAAACTAGATCTATAGGGGAGATACTACTGAAGTCATACGTACTAGGGAGAGAGAAGTGAAAAATAGTTTAAATGGCGCGTGCTGGCCGGTGCTACGTAAGTAATTTGTAAAAATATTTGTTCGTTGATAGTGGTATGTCCCCAGGAGTAATAGGTAGAAGGAGGCAAAACCGGTTCTGATCGCAAGAGTCTTTATTCACGACAATACAGAGACAGCAGAAGAATGAATCAGCGTGTCCACTAGGGCCTATCATAAGTCGCTGGTCCTTCTAGACTGTTCCTGGCCTATCGCACGAGAGGGGGAGTTCTGGCGTGACTTCCCACGCTGGGGGACATTCAAGAACATTGCAGTGCACGGGGGGCGGACGTCACGTGTGCTCGGGGCGCGCGCGGCCGGCCAGGAGCCATGACTCATATGACGTGCACTTCGCGTCTCCATAACAGATAAAATTACAAGTCATGTCACAACGCTGACGGTTTGCATTTGAGGGATCCAGCCGATAGTATTGCCGGTAAGGACATGGGAAACTTGAATGACCATCTGTGGCTTACTAGCTGTTGTCAGCCAGTCATACTGAGACCCAGGCAGTGCACTGCCCTTTCTCATCTGTTTTGCCGGTTTAGGTCAGAAGATATAAAGACTAATTTACAAACGGAACTCACTTGTCCCGCTCTGCCATGCCTTGGACCTCATTTCTCGGGTCCTGACTGCAGCTGTAGCAGCTATAGGCGGATAGTAATGTCGGCAGAGACGAGGGAGAGTGTAATGGCCATTTCTGGCTTCTTAGCCGTTGTCAGAAAGTTATACCAAGACCCAAGCGGTGCACTCCCCGAGCATCAAACTCGCGACCTTTTGATCAGAGTCAAACGCCCTAACCATTGAGCTGCGAGGTCGTTGCTACTAGGGCCCGAGAAATGGGGCCCAACCGATGCAGAAGAACATGACCAGGAGCAACCCACATCTCCGCAGCCCCTAACCTCGATTAAAATGCGATCTGCAGGCCTGTGTGCGTCGTGAAATCACACACGAAGCAGTTTTCGGGGCAGATGGTAGATTTACGAGACCACCAACGCGCCTCCTCTCATACTCGACTGTAAATCAGTCACCTAACTATTCGAAACA